GGTCAGCCATGTGGTTTTAGCTGGTTTGTATCCCAACACCCGCTTGAGTATCCCAAACCTTTGCTTTTACCAACCTGCACAGTGCGTCCTTCCAGGAAGAGTGTGCATTGCTCTCCAGAGGCAGGGAAATTCCCACGCGTGAGCAGCACACACATTTGGTCATTCAATCGGCGACTGTTTGTGGGACGCTGCTGCGTGTAATTGGCTGCTGCGTTTCGCCCACAAAATACCCAGTCAATTCACTTTACAGTATATTCTGTGACACACTTTGAGACGTCTCAAAAATGCGCTAAAGCACTGCATCAAATGCAAGGATGATGATTATTATTATTATTATTATGTGAGACTCTATCAGGTTTGGATACATCAAATGCAAAGATTATATTATGAGGAATTGCATGTGTTACTTTGCAGCTCTATTAAAAGTACTGCTTCTGCTCTGAATATTGGACTTTATAATAATAATACTTGTATTTGATATAGCGCTTTTCACGTCGGGAGGACGTCCCAAAGCGCTTCACAGAATATACTGTAAAGTGAATTGACTGTATATTTGTGGGCGAACGCGGCAGCCAATTGCGCACAGCAATGTCCCACAAACAGTCGTAGATTGAAAATGACCAATTTATTATTGTTTTTTGTTTTGGAGGGATTATTATTAGGCTCTGTGTGGAGTAAGGAAACTTGCCCAAGGTTTCGCCCTCTGCCTGGAATTGAACTCAGATCTCTCACTTGCAAAGCGAGTGCTCTAACCACTGAGCTACAGGAAACCACTTTCTGCTCACACAGGTAAACAAGCACCATCTCTCGGGTAAGGCAGATATTGATCTATATTCATTTATTGGAATAATATTGTTTTATTTACAGCCAGTTGTATCTCAAGATAATTACTGAGAACTGTCGTTAATTTAAAGCACTTTTATATGAATTGGACAAACTACTGGTGGGAGCGAAGCAGTGTCCCAGCGCTGCCCCCCAGTGGCCATTCCTGAGCTGTGCGCTCAAACCACTGGGTTTCTGCGTGTGTCGGACACCCGCGTGTCGGATACCCGGTTGGACAAAACTGTTGACAGATGTCGCTGTTGGCATATAATTATATATCTGATAGTCTCGCCATTGTTTTGTAATCCTAATAATAATCATTGCATTTGATACAGTGCCTTATCACGTCTTCGAGACGTCTCAAAGCGCTTCACAGGATATACTGTAAAGTGAATTGACTATTCTGTGGGTGAAACGCGGCAGCCGATCGCGCACAGCAGCGTCCCACAGACAGCCGGGGGTTGTTTGTTTTGTTCCTTTTGGAGAGGAGAAGATTGATGGAGGTTCCGACGTGCCTGCAAATATAGTTGATTCACTATACAGTATATTCTATGAAGCGCTTTGAGACGTCTCAAAGACGTGATAAGGCGCTGCATATACCAAATGCAATGATTATTATTACTACCATCACTGCTGTTTGAGCGCACAGCTGAGGAATGGCCACTGGGGGGCAGCGCTGGGACACTGCTTCGCTCCCACCAGTAGTTTGTCCATTCATATAAAAGTCCAATCATGGATTCAGCTAGAAATATTCAGAGCAGAAACAGTACTTTTAAAAAAGCTTAAAAGCAACACATGCGGTTCCTCATCATAATATATAATCCTTACATTTGACATCTTTCAACATCAGGTCGAAAAGTGCTTCACAGGATATAACAATAATAATAACCCGATCTTTAATAGCACCTTTCACATCAGGTAGATGTCTCAAAGTTCTTCACAGGATATACCATAAAGTGTAGTGACTGTGTCTTTTGTGGGCCAACGCAGTAGCTTGTTTGCCCACAGCAATGAAATGTAGCGATTGTGTAGGCGAAACCTTGGGCAAGTTTCCTTACTCCACACAGAGCCTAATAATAATCCCTCCAAAACCCAAAACAATATAAATTGGTCATTTTCAATCTACGACTGTTTGTGGGACATTGCTGTGCGCAATTGGCTGTTCTGTGAAGCGCTTTGGGACGTCCTCCCGACGTGAAAAGCGCTATATCAAATGCAAGGATTATTATTATTATTGTTGTAGGTGAACATTGCAGCCAATTTTAGCAGAGGTATGTACCACAAATAGCCATGAAGTGAGTGACCAATTTTATTTGGGAGATTGTTGGCCAGGAAAACTCCCCTCTTACTGTAGTATCACATATCCTTTGGGTTATTAGGAAATTACCCTACAATCGTCCCTTTTTCACCCTCACACTAAATCTGTGTATTTTTTTTAATCAATCTCAAACCAGTGCGACTATTAAATAGGACAACTATCTTTAAGATCATGTTGCTTAAATTACTTAAAGAAGATTAGTCAGGGACGAATCTTCCAGGACAACTGCTTTTCTCAAAGACCCAGTAACCCTACGATCAAAGCATTGATTTCTCATTTCCTTTCTGTCCCCCGTTGTAACGTCAGTGTTGTCCACTTTTACCTATGAGTCACATACAGAAGCTGCTAAGAGTGTATGCTGGGCCGACTCAGCGAAAAGGGGTTAATTACGTCTCCAGTCAGGTTGTGGACAATTTCATACATTTAATTTAATGGGATTTAATGAACATATTCGAAATCTAATTGGAGGATATTGATTCCTCTGCTGCTTTCCCAATACTTATCGTCAGCAAGACGTTCAAAACAAAGCAAACTCATTTTGAGGGTGACGTACCTGCTTCACTGATGATCACTTTGTCGTTGGCTATTGATTGAACAGGAAATATCCTTCACCCTACATAAGATCTGACACCGCACTGTCAAGCTGTCTGTGTTTCTGTTCTTCATGGGAGAATGATACTTCAAAACGGAAATGCCCTGCGATACTCTAACCCGATTTATCCTAAGTAATAATGATACACAGTCACTACAATTTGCAACTGAATCCTGTGAAGTGATTCAAGATGTTTTGACACAACCTGTTACATCAAATGCAAGGCTTGTTATATGCCATGAAAATATCACATCAAGTCGAGAAGCATAAATGCTTCCTGCCACTTGATAGCAATGTCAGGCTACATTAGCATCGAGCCAGGATACAGCTGATAACAATAATCCTTGCATTTGATACAGAACCTCATCACATCTTTGAGGCTTCTCCAAGCGCTTCACAGAATATACCATAAAGTGAATTGACTGCATATTTTGTAGGCAAGACCTGGCAGCCAATTGCACACAGCAGTATCCCACAAACAGTCGTGGATCCAATACCAAATTTGATAAGAATTAGGAGGCAAATAATACCAACACAATGGATTGCGTTTCGCCCACAAAATATACAGTCAATTCTCTTTACAGTATATTCTGTGAAGCGCTTTGAGATATCTTGAGTCATGATAAGGCATATATATCAAATGCAAGGATTATTATATTATTATTACTTCTCTCCTGCATTGGAGTCCTGTAGCTCAGTGGTTAGAGCACTCGCTTTGCAAGTGAGAGACCTGAGTTCAATCCCAGGCAGAGGGTGAAACCTTGGGCAAGTTTCCTTACTCCACACAGAGCCTAATAATAATCCCTCCAAAACCAGAAAAAAAACAATAATAAATTGGTCATTTTCAATCTACGACTGTTTGTGGGACATTGCTGTGCGCAATTGGCTGCCGCGTTCGCCCACAAATATACAGTCAATTCACTTTACAGTGTGTTCTGTGAAGCGCTTTGGGACGTCCTCCCAACGTGAAAAGCGCTATATCAAATGCAATGATTATTATTATTATTGGATCCACTTCTTAACCAAACCCAAAAATCTAAGAGCAGAAACTCCATCGCACCACATACTGGATCCTCAAACATCAAACCAGAGTTGTTTTTTTTAAAAAAATGAAACATTATTTTTAATGGAAAGGGAGACGGATACAATACAAAACCACCTGTCAGCAAGACAGAATAACATTTTATTGAGGAATAATAAAAATAAAAATAATGACTTATAATGGGGTCTTCGCTAGTGTGTGCTTTTGTTGAGATACTGTACAAACATGTTGGCGATGTGGCCAATGTTCTCTGTGGGATGCAGCTTTGTGTAGGTGATAAACTGGCGCCTCAGCTTGCGAAGCTCAGCCATGCTGAGATTGTGGCTCAGCTCGATGTGCTCAGGGTTAAGGAAAAAACTGTCAGAAACACAAATAAAAGCAGAAGTCGCTGGGAACACGCAGCAGGTCAGGCAGCATCTATATAGAGAGGAAAGTGAGTTAACTGATGAAAGCTTATCGACTTGAAACGTTGACTCACTTTCCTCTCTCCATAGATGCTGCCTGACCTGCTGAGTGTTCCCAGTGACTTCTGTTTTTATTTCAGGTTTCCAGCGTCTGTGGTATTTTGCCTTTTGTCATAAACACAACCATGATCCAGATATCCGATCTGTATTGAAACAGAGCTTACATCTTGTCCTACTCTAAGAGTTTAACAAACCTGGGAATTGCCAGAGCAAAAGTGGATTATACATCAACAATACAATTGTGGAGTCCTGACGTGTAGTGGTCAGGGCACTTGCCTCGCAAGCGAGAGGACCCGAGTTCAATTCCCACATACATTGCCAAGATAGGATAGTATGTCCTACACTGATTCCTGGGGCGCCCACCGCCTTCCCTTTATCATGAGTACCTTAAATCCTTTTGGGATTGCGAGAGAGACAACTCTTTTTTGCTCCTAAACAATAGCTTGGTATGGACTGCACTACAAAGGACAGTGATGTCACACAAACACACAGTGGATTCAGGATGAAATATAATGCCTGGAGGATAATAATAATAATATTCTTTGCATTCTTAAGCATCCCCTTAAACACATTCTTATAAAAGGATATCTTTTCAGTGGCTCCGGGTAGTACGATCCGGTCCCCTGGCAGACTGGTTTTCTGTGCATTTAATATTGCCTGGAAATAAAGCAGACAAGCTTCATAGAATAATACTGTAGCAAATTATATTCAGCCACCACCTGTGGCCAGTGGCCACTCTCTTTTTTAAAAAGCACTGTTGTAAAGACACAGTTTTCAGTGGTCAGTTCAAAGTGATTGTAAGTGTAATTACTGATGTGCTACCAATTTCCTTGGGCTCGCATGTAGACTCCTGCTGAACCCCTGGCATTTATCCACATGGATGGCAAAAGCGCCTGCTTTTAAACCTTTAAAAACATTTTCGGGCCCGGTCAACAAACCTTAACTGAGAGGCCACTCTTACACCAAGGCCACTTTGCTCCAGTCCCCTGAGTAGCTGCTGAAACAGGCTGAGTGTATTATTGTGTATTATATTGTGATTTAGGAACAGACTAGACAACAACAACAAGATTCCATTTATAGAGCGCCTTTCACGTCGGGAGGACGTCCCAAGGCGCTGTACAGTTGGGTCAGGACCCGAGCAGTGGGGAAATGGTCATGGTGAGGGGAGAGAAGGGAGGGAGCGAGTAGAGAGTCGAGAGGGGAGCTGAAGGCACGGTCAAAGAGAAAGGTCTTGAGACCGGCCTTGAAGGAGGAAAGGGAGGAAGCGGCGAAGGCACTGGGGGATAGAGTTCCAGAGCCTGGGGCTGAGAGGCTGAAGGCCCGGCCACCGATGGTAGGGCGGTTGGGGCGGGGGATGTGGAGCAGACCGGAGCCAGAGGAATGGAGGGTACGGGCAGGTAAGTAGGGGGATAGTCGGTCGGAGAGGTAGGAGGGAGCGAGGCCGTGAATGGCCGTGTAGGTGAGGATGAGGATCTTGAATTCGATCCTCTGGGAGATGGGGAGCCAGTGGAGGCGAGCGAGGGTGAGGGTGGGAGTGATGTGGGCGCGGTGTCTGGTGCAGGACAGTACATGAGCTGCAGAGTTCTGAATGACCTGCAGTGTGGAGGGAGGGCCGGGAAGGCCGACGAGGAGAGAGATCCCATAGTCCAGCCTTGAGGTGATGAAGGCGTGGACCAGTGTTTCAGCCGCGTGAGGGGTGAGGTAATGCCATAGTCTGGTGACATTCCGGAGGTGCGGATATGAGGAAGAAAGGACAGCTCAGGGTCGAACAGAACCCCGAGGTTCCTGACGGCTTTGAGAGGTGGAGAGTGCGGCCTTGGATGCTGATGCTGTCGGCGCCTGAGGTGCGGAGGCGCTGACGTGAGCCAATCAGGAGGGCCTCAGTTTTACATATGTTGAGCTGAAGAAAGTTGTCTCTCGTCCAGGACTCGATGTCGGACAGGCAGCTGTCAGGACATTGGGGGTCATGGAGTTGAGGGTAGAGGAGGAAAGGTAGAGTTGGGTGTCATCCGCATACATGTGGGAGTTAACCCCATGTCTGCGGATGATGTCACCACAGGGGGAGCATATAGAGGGTGAAGAGGAGGGGACCGAGGACAGAGCCCTGAGGGACACCGCACGAGACAACCATCTAACGCTTGCTGCTCCTAATACAGCTCTACTCTGTACTGACGTCAGGCTCCTGAAGTGGAAGAGATGAGTCAACACGGACACAGTTATGGGGAGCACAACACCCACCATTAACATGTCTTGGGTAACTTTGTCCAATTCGTACAGGAAGTTTGTAGAGGACAGCGGTTGCTGGAAAAGATCACAGCATAAAACTCGTCACATAAAATAAAAAAACTGAAATACTCTTATTGGCACTTCCTGTCCCACCATCGGGCATTTAGCATTTATGACCCCCCACATTCTGGAACTCTATCCCACAATCGCTCCACCTCACCCCCTCTCTTGCCTCCTTCAATTCTTGTCTAAAGACCTTCCTCTTCGACCTTTCCTTTGGCCACCCTCCCACTCCCCGCTGTCTCGACGTTATGCTCCGCCACTGTCGAGCGCTCTGGGTCACTACCCTGCGTGAGGGGGCGCTGTGTAAATATAAACTGTTGTTGCTGTTATTGATCTAAAGGACAAAGGGCCTGGAAACTCACGTTCTGCGTGGACTGATTTGGCGGTGGTGCTTTTCTGTGGAAGATCGCATCACATATTGCCTGGAACGGAAGTGTATCATCCTTCTGGACAGTGAAGAGTGGGCTGTCCCATCGGTTCCTGGAATCGGGCGACTCAAATCGCATCACCAGGCCATCGAACCTGCCGGAAACAATCAGCAAAGAACTCTGCGTCAAAACACCCATCACTCAAGCAAAAAGACTTGCTAAAGAGCTGCCCACAATTGCTTTACAGGCTTGTTCTTCAGATAATAATAATAATATTCCTTGCATCTGATACAGCGCCTTATCATGTCGTTGAGTCATCGCAAAGTGCTTCACAGGATTTACTGTGAATAGGATTGACTGTATATTTTGTGGGCAAAACGCGGCAGCCAATCCGTGCACTGCAGCGTCCCACAAACATCCATGAAGCGAATGAACAATTTTTATTTTGGGGAATTGTTGCCCTGGACACTGGGATAAGAGAAACTTCCTTCTATTTTCGAATAGTGCCGTGGGATCTTTAACATCCACCTGAACAGGCAGGACTTCGGTTTAATGTCTCATCTGAAGGACGGCACCTCCGACAATGAGACACCGCCTCAGCATAAACTATGATTTTCAAATCCTGTCGAGGGTATTGAACCCACAGCCTTCTGACTCAGAGGTCAGAGTGCGATCGACTGAGCCAGGCTGACACACCTTGTTCCCTGAAGCCAAAAATTATTGAACACTAATGGCAGGTCTACCACGTCACAATGCAGACCTCAGAATTATAAAAATTAGAGAAATCACTGATCCAGTGCTGAATAGACAAACATTTGGGTTCCCAGTAAGTACATAGAAACATAGGATTATACAGCACAGGAGGCCATTCGACCCATCGTGTCTGTGCCAGCTCTTTGAAAATAGCTTCCAATTCAATCCCACTCCCCCGCTCTCTCCCCATAGCCCTGCAAACTTGTCCATCAGACCCACAGAAAAAAACATAAGAACATAAGAATTTGCTGGTGAAAGACCAATGTCCATTTAATTCGACTTCCAGTGTTCTGGCAGTCACTGACATGATGTTGTGTCCCAAACCATACACTGTATCCCCAGATATTTTTGAGCAGAAATTGATCTCATTCGTTCCTGAAACAAACAATATTTTCTGTTTCCACCGTCTGTCTGTCTGCCCAGGGAGCCTGTTCCATAAGTTTATTACTCACTCCCTGATGTAGTGTTTCCACAGATTTGTTCTGAATTTAACCCCTTCATGTGCAGGTTGTAATATTGTTATTAATAATACTTGTCAAAAGCTATAACATCACATGGTTGTAATGCCCTGTCAGGTGGGGGTCAAGTGCTTACACTTCCTGGGAGTACTGGCTCTCTGGCTCTCTCTCCAGGTTCCACGCTGAGCAGATATCCACTGCGGTTTCACAATGAATCTGGAAAACAGATACAAGACAGAATGAAGCCAGGAGCACAAAGGTACCTTTATTATATACACAAATCCCAACATAATAAATAATAGTAATCCTTGCATTTGATATTATCAATTGAGATGTCTCAAAGCGCTTCCATGGAATATTGTATATAATATATATACATATAGTATATATATATATACACACACACACACAGATATATATATATATATATAAAGTGGATTGAATGACCAAATTATTTTTATTGAAAGGATCAATACCCCCGGAAAAGCGATCTGCCAATCGACTAACAACCGGGTTACTACTTGTGGAGTCCTGTAGCTCAGTAGTTAGAGCACTCGCATTGCAAGTGAGAGACCTGAGTTCAATTCCAGGCAGAGGGCGAAACCTTGGGCAAGTTTCCTTACCTCCACACAGAGCCTAATAATAATCCCTCCAAAAACAAAAACAATAATAAATTGGTCATTTTCAATCTACAACTGTTTGTGGGACATTGCTGTGTGCAATTCGCTGCCGCGTTCGCCCACAAATATGCAGTCAATTCACTTTACAGTATATTCTGTGAAGGGCTTTGGGATGTCTAGAAGACGTGAAAAGCCCTATATCAAATGCAAGGATTATTATTATTATTATAATTATTGCTGCTACGTAAAAAGAGGCGTGTAAAGTAAGGAAACTTGCCTGAGGTCTCGCCCTGCCCAGGAATCGAACCTGGGTCCTCCCGCTAGCAAGCCGAGTGAGCTAACCACTAGGCCACAGGACTCCACAAGTTTAACATCTTATCCGAAGGACCGAACCTTTGACAATGCAGTGCTCTCCCCAACACTGAATCTGAGTGTCAGCGTAGAGTGTAGTCCCGGCTTGAGATACACACAGCACAATCTCCTGACCCCGAGTCGAGAGCGTTACCAGCTGAGCCTGGCTGTCACCTCAAGAGGTGGCTGTATTAAACGAAACACGAAGCCACTCACCAGGCAGTGTGGAGTCCGTGCGTGTTTTATCAGACAGAACAGCTCATATCTGTAACCTAGGATTTGAACGGACAGGAGGTTACGAGGCATCAAACGACTAAATCAGACAACAAATCAATACTTTCACACATCGGTCTTGATATTGCAGTTGGATTCACTGACCCGGATAATCAGTACGAGTTCAGCATACGATCACTCCCAGAACCACTGAGCGACTGACGGTCACTCACTTGAGTCAGGGCCACTTCCCAATGCACAAGCCCCGCTCAGCAGTTCACACCTGCCCGCCCGTGGCTTCTCTCCAACCTCCACTCTCTAGGACCTGCACCATCCACGTGGTCAACCCATGGCCCCCAGGGCCCCACCCCCAAACTTCGCACGAGTCTAAATAAATCTGTGTTCAATTAATCAATGCGTTTCCAGGCTTTCTTTCCTTCACTGAATTTTCTTGAACTATAATAATAAAAAAAATTGTTGCATTTGATACAGGATATACTGTAAAGTGAATTGACTGTATATTTTTGTGGCCGCTTCTATGGCATAAATCAAGAAATATTCAATCAAGAAAATGTATTCAGTTGGCCGACCATAAAGTCTGCCCATCGCTGCTCTACACTGACTGTTGCAGTCAGACTTTGGGCGATCAACTAACAAAATGTCCAGGAAGCAAATCCAAACCATTTACACACAGCATTGAAATTCCATATGAAATTCCACCCAGTTACAGCCCATGAGACTATTTTGTGTCAAAACTCTCAGCTGTAGCATTTGGAGGCCCAAAATTCCACCTAGTCTTAACCTCTAAGACTATTTAGTCTTAAAATTAAGATTGCACAGAATTTCGGATAATTCTTATAAACGTATTAAACCGGTTTATTTTTAGAGGCCGGTTTATGTTTTAAGAATTGTGGAAGACCAGCCTCTGGCTCCTCCCTCTCCCTGCCCTGGTTAAGGTAAGAACAACCTCCAAGTTATTACGTAACCAGTTACCATCGTACTTTTGATGTAATTTAAATAATCCAGAATCACCACATCTTCCTTGTTCACTTTCCTGGGGAGAAAGGAAAGGTTTATTCAGAAGAGTTACAAGTTATTACTGGCCTCACTGGAGCACGCGTATAATTAGAATAATCCTTGCATTTGATACCTTATCACGTCTTTGAGACGTCTCAAAGCTCTTCACAGAACATACTGTAAAATGTATATTTTGTGGGCGAAACGCGGCAGCCAATTGCACACAGCAGTGTCCCACAAACAGCTGTGGATTGAAGTGACCACATTTTTTTTATTGAAGAGATTATTAGCCCCGGAAAACAATCCGCCAGTTGACTAACAACCGAGTTCCTACTTACTGCTGGGTGGAGTAAGGAAACTTGCCCAAAGTTTTGCTCTGCCCGGGGATCAAACCCGGGTCCTCTCACTTGCAAGGCGAGTGTTTTAACCACTAAGTTACAGGACTCCACCATGCGGGTGTCCTACAGATACATGGTTGATGGAAATGTGGCACACACTGGCCACTTCTGTTCAAGCACGCAGTATACAGAAGGCCAACCGGTCAAACGCGATCACTCTCACACACATTTCAAGCACGGGAAGTGACATCATCCGCAATCCGACAACCTGAAAAAGGACCAGCGTCATTTATTCTTGGTGAACTCGTCATGGGGAGCCAATGGAGGATTTTGACTTGTGGAGTCTGATGCGGGAGAGAACACGAGCTACAGAGTTTTGGATTGAGCGGATTCAGCTTGAAGCCACAACCTTTTGACCCTCAGACGAGAGTGCTGGCAAATGACCAAGGCTGACATCTAAAGCTTCTTGCACAATTAAAGTGACAAATGCTTTGCCATCACTCTGAGATCACAACACAACAAATGTGTCCACATCTGTATTTCAGTAAAGTAATTATCGATCAGGGAAGCTGGGTCCAATACCTCTCAACTTCAGCTTTCAGCGTTCCCCAGAGTTCCTTCTCCTTCTGCGAATCTATAACACAGACAAAAAAAAACACAATTAACAAACTGTTCAGGGACCATCATTGGACATAGCAAGTCGTAGGCATGTATTGAGCAAGATCAAATGCCTCTAATACCTAGCAAGCTAATAATCCTTGTATTTGATATCGAGCCTTATCACGCCATTGAGGAGTTTCAAAGCGCTTCACAGGTTACACTGTAAATTGAACTGACTGTATATTTTGTGGGCAAAACGCAGCAGCCAATTGCGCACAGCAGCGTCCCACAAACAGTCGTGGATTGAGTGACTAAATTTTTGTTTTTTAAAGTTAAACAATCTTAAAGGCTGTTAAAATGAAGCAGGACCTTGTGTGATTTTCACTGTGTTGCCTGCAGTCACAATAAGGCAATGAGGTCCTTGCCTGGGGAACGGGGCGACTATTCAGATTGGATCCTGATATACAAGCTGAACCATGACTTGGATGCGCTGTGGAGCTCACGCTCATTCCTGAACCAGTATGATCCCATTCCATTTTTACTGGAGTCCTGTAGCTCACTGGTTAGAGCGCTCGCTTTGCAAGTGAGAGACCTGAGTTCAATCCCCGGCAGGTCAGGGCCAAACCTTGGGCAAGTTTCCTTACTCCACACAGAGCCTAATAATAATCCCTCCAAAACCAAAAACAATAATAAATTGGTCATTTTCAATCTACGACTGTTTGTGGGACATTGCTGTGCGCAATTGGCTGCCGCGTTCGCCCACAAATATACAGTCAATTCACTTTACAGTAATTCTGTGAAGCGCTTTGGGACGTCCTCCCGACGTGAAAAGCGCTATATCAAATGCAAGGATTATTATATTATTACTTTGAAAAATGATTCCCGCTTTACATAATGTTAGCGCTTCAGGTGCTTCAGGATCTTCTTTGGACAAGGACATACTTAATTCTGTTAAACTGTTTTTTTTGGGGGTGGTGGTTGGGGAGGGGAAGGGGATGTGCAATAGTATGCATGTGAACAGCCATTACTATAGGAGAATCTGGTGAAATTTCACACCAGCAATGGACACACTCTTCAGGGGTTATTGAAATCAAAGGAAAGTTTAGAGCCCAATGACTAAACAGGTTCTTGTACCAGATTCAAGCCATCTCTTGACTGAGTTCAGATCCATGATACAAACTACACTTGATTCAGCATGAAATAAAATTGAAGAGTTGAGGGAACGGATGAAAGAGGGGAAATGGAAATAACACTGAGAACTCTGGACTCCCTTCGTCTCTTGCTTCCTTCAAGGCCGGTCTCAGGACCATCGTCTTTGACCGCACCTTCGAATCACCCTCCTACCCCTAACCCTCTCTTCTCTCCACTCCTCCTGATCCCAACCCCCAGCTTGGGTTCAAATCCTTGACTGTCTAGCGCCTTGGGACAACGGGAAAGGCACTGTGTAAATGTAATCTATTGTTGTTGCTGTAGACCGAAGGAAAAGTCACCATTCCCAGCACTGGATATGAAGAGTTCAAGACATCATTGGTGTCTAATGCCTTGTTATAACATAGTTATAATCAGTGTTGTGTATGGTAGCTAAAGCCAGTGAAAGCTACTCGGAGTAGGCCACACGTCTACTGGACAGAGACTAACCAAAAAAACAATCAAGTGAAAAATAAAATGTCAAGGGACAGAGCCTCAGTGATGGTAATTATTTCAGCCTTATATTTGCCCTTCTGGCTACAGTTTCAAAAGGCTTCCGTCCAATACTGTCAGTCAATCAATCCTAAACACATTCTTCAGTTTTCTGATAACTAGGTCCACTTGTGTCAAGACATTTCAATCGACAAGCTTTTGCTGTTACAAATTGGTTCGGTCTTTCTGCAGTGACTTTTGAATTCATAATAAGTAACAATAATCCTCATATCTGGTACAGAACTTTATTGGTTCCAAAGCGCTACAACAACAAAAGTACATTTGTACAGCGCCTTTCATGTCGGGAGGACGTCCCCAGGCTCTGGACAATCAGTGTTTCGGACCTGTTTTTTACACTGTTAAGTGGAGCCATCGTGTCTTTGCAAGCGAACCCAGCAGATCAATTGCTCACAGCAATGTTCATGAACAGCCACAGAGTGAGCGACCAAACTCCCTTATCTTTTCGCATCTTCAACGCCCACCTGAACAGGCAGTCGTGACCGGAGTTTAACATCCCATCCAAAGGCCGGCATCTCCGACAACGTAACACCCTCAGCGTGGTTTTTTGTCTTCTTTCCCTTCCAAATCATCACGATAACAGCTTTATTTTTAGAGTCAACTTCAACAACATTTGAGCATTAACCTTGGACTCTGGCAGCGGGAAGAGGCCACGACAACAATGCAAGAGAGCAACTGAGTTGGTGCTCGGTACAGCCAAAGTCAAAGAAGCAATCAGGCGTCGGCCCGATTCAGCGATAGCTCTCACCTCACAGTCAGAAAACTGCAGGTTCGAGCCCCACGTCAGGACTCCGAGCTCAGTCTGGACTGACACCGCAGGTGCCGTCCTTCGGACGAGGCACAGACCTGTTCCCATCGGCCCTGGTCAGGTGGACGTTAAAGATCCCACAGCACTGTCCGAAAAGAGAAGAGTTCCTCTCTCCCGGTGTCCCGGGCAACAGTCCCACAGATACAGTCAATCGCTCGCTCCCACTCCTGCAAACGCAGGACCTCACTGTGCGCCACTGCTGCCGCGTTTCGCCCACAAAACAACAACAACAACAACTTGCACTTATGTTATACAGCGCCTTTCAGGCGGGACACGGGTCGGGCAGCGCTGAGCAGTCGAGGGAGTGAATACCTCAGTGAGTGAGTCCACAGGGAATAATAATAATAATAATAATAATAATTCTGGTATTTGATACAGCGCCTCATCACATCCTTCCGACTCTCAAAGCCCTTCATAGAATAGACTGTAAAGTGTAGTGACTGTGCATTTTATGGGCGAAACGCAGCAGTCAATTGCGCACAGCAATGAGTGTCCCACAGACATCCGTGAAGGGAGTGACCGCAAAAGACGGGATCTTTGCGTTGGTTTAAGGCCCCAAAGCCGCGGTCTCGCCTGCGCCACTGACCCGCGTACACGGCGCTGCGCTCGGCTCCCAGGCTCGGCTCCACCACCAGCGCCTTCCGGCCCGCGGCCTCCAGGTGGCTCCTCAGCTGCACCGCGCGGCGGCTCTTCCCGCTGCAGGGAAACCCGCACAGGAGCACCAGCGGCATCGGCACCGCTCAGCGCCGCGCCACCCGGGGCGCCGCCATTCTGACCCGGAAACGAACCGCCCGAGGTCAGTGCATTAAAGGGGCAGCGCCTCCTGTCGGCCTATTAAAGGGGCAGCGCCTCCTATCGGCCTATTAAAGGGGCAGCGCCTCCTGTCCACCAATGAAAGGGATCTCGCTGGTGCAATTGGCTGCCACGTTTCGCCCACAAAACACACAGTCACTACACTTTACAGTATATTTTGTGAAGCGCTTCGAGATGTCTCGAAGACGTGATGAGGCGCTGTATAAGATGCAAGGATTATTATTATTATGTTATTATTTTGTTATGTTTATTATTATATATTATTATTATTATTATATATTATACACATCCCCAGAAATATTGAATGATCAGTGTAATCATTGCTGACAGCAGATGCTCAAAGGGCAGGTCGCAGACCTGGCAGTGCCAACTCCTGCCACTGCCTCCAGCACAGCCTCCCACCTTCACAGAGGATTCTCAGAAAGTTAATTGAATGCAGAGCAAATGCTGAAATAATAAAAATAATAATAATAATATTGCTGATTTCACAGTGTGACAGTCGCTGTGCCTTTAGCAGAGACTTCCCAGGTACCCACCACTTCTGTGGGCAGGGTGGGGGGCGGGAGGTAAGCGGGGTCTCTTAAGAGCTGAATTGGCTCCAAGGTGACAAATTTGACAACGGAATGTCAGAATCAAGCCAACCCTCTGTGACAGCAGGACTTGGAAGGGCAGACCAGACAGACCACCTCCCATTCAGTTCTGGTTAACCCTGGGAGCCAAAGCCCTAACGGGGCGGGTGGGCCTAGCTGGACAAGCATCTGGAAAGCTGGCCAGACAGCGCTATCAATGCAAGCTGTGTGGGTTTAGCTGGTTAGACTCCAGCAGTTACCCCAACACACACTCTGGGGTACCCCCAAAGCCTTGGCTCTCGCCAACCTGTACGGAACACTCTTCGAAATTGGATAAGTAGGTTGCATCCCTCCAGGGCGAGGGCGCATTCCATTCCAGTCACAGGGACATTTCCAAGTATAGGTGGCAGTCCTGTGTGGTTTAGAGACTTTTAAGTGTATGTCAGACCAAAAAAAATCTTAGCTTGAGAGTATGAATGTGGGAAACCTAAAGCAAGAGAGAAAACAAATAAAAAAGGGAGATAGAGGAGAGGGATGAATTCCAAACTTACCTATAATATTAAACTGGAAATACTAGTTGCTTAAATAATATATTCTTTATTTGCCACAAATAACTTTCTGGTTACATGAGAAGTCGTTAATCATCCCAAAAAGTCAGAAATATTTAGAAATCATTCTTTCTCCTCTTTTAATATATAAATAAGACACGGAATGATGGTACAGAATAGTAGATCAAGTGGTGGTGACAGGATTAACACAGTGGGTGGAGTTACAGTAAAATGCCCAGATTCGTCATCCATTTACCATCAATAAAGCTGTGATGTTGCACACATAATGTGTGCACACACAGAGTCCTTACAGTTTAGGGTGATGGTCACTTGTTTTCAATGTAACTCTCGAGGATCTTCATTATTAACCCCATTCCCTGTGGGTAGAGCAAAACATGTTAGACTCCGTGCTGTAATATGCAGTGGACAGTCATGGATTATCATGCGTTACATATAATAATAATCCTTGCATTTGATATAGCACCTTATCACTGTAAAGTGGAGTGACTATATTTGTGGGCGAAACTACATTATAATTGAATTTTATAAAAATTTGGTCACTTAATCCATGACTGCCACGTTTCGCCCACAAAATGTACAGTCTGTCTATTTCCTGGGAAAGATATCTGGATAGGGATGGGAGTGGGGTTATTTTTGGGGAAAGGCCAGATGTCAGCCTGGCTCAGAGGGCAGCACTTAAGCTTCTGAACCAGAAGATAGTGAATTCAACCCCCACTTGGGATTTTGAACTCAGTCTCGGCTGACACTCCAGCACAAATAACTTTCTGGTTACATGGGGGTGGGGGTGGCATTGTTGGAGGTGCCGTCCTTCAGATAAGATGAGATATTAAACCAAGGTCCGTTTTTCTCTCTCTCCTTGTGGTGTCCTGGCCAACAATCTCCCAAATACAATTCAATTCACAGTTCTTTGTAGGACACTGCTGAGTGCAAATTGGCTGATATAACTGCCATAAATACACTGTCTCTACATTTTAAAGTACTGGGAAGCGCTTTGAGACACCTCAACGATGTGATAAAACACTATAAGAATAATGTATATAGTAATTTAGTAAACAATAATAATTTGGTCATGAGTCCACGACTGTTTGTGGGACATCGCTGTGCGCAATTAGCTGCCTTGTTTCGCCCACAAATATACAGTCAATTCACTTTACAGTATATTCTGTGAAGCGCTTTGGGACGTCCTCCTGACGTGAAAAGCGCTATATCAAATGCAAGGATTATTATATATTATATTATTACATATCAAATGCAAAGATTATTGTTATTCATCACTGAACTTTGCAGTAAAATCCTGTGAAGAGCTTTGAGATGTTTTGATATGATAAGGTGCTACTCCTAACGCAAGAATTATTATTATTATTCTAACCTAAATTAGGGTTTAAAAAACGTCTAATTCTACTAAGACAACAATACAACACAATATAATTTTCATTTATATAACATCTATATATAATATATATAGGAGGATATCCCGCGTTTCTCCCACAAAACACAGAGTAACTACACTTTACAGTATATTCTATGAAGGGCTTTGAGACATTTCGAAGACGTGGCCAGAGGCCATATTAAATAGCAGGAGATAGTATGGCTCTGTGAGATAAGTACAACAGCAACAAGTTGCATTTACACAGCGTCTTTCAGAGCAGGAGGACACCCAAGGCGCTGGACTGTCAAAGGATCGAAGGCGCAGTCAAAGAGGAGGGTCTTGAGATGGGCCTTGAAGAAGACAAGAGAGGAATCGAGGTAAAGGGAATGTGGAATGGAGTTCCAGGGGGTGGGAGCAGAAAAGCTCAAGGTCCGACCACCGATGATGGGGAGGACCGCGTGGGGGGCAGAGCCAGAGCCTGCCGTGGGGAGGGAGCGGACAGGTTGGTAAGGTATGGGTAGGTGACAGAGGTGGGAAGGAGCAAGCCCATGGAGGGCTTTGAAAGCAAGGACGAGGATTCTGAACTCTATCTTCTGGGGGATGGGAAGCCAGTGGAGCCGGGTGATGGGATCACGGAGCCTGCGGCAGGAGAGGATACGAGTTGCAGAGTCTGAAAGATCTGCTGTTTGTGGAATGAAGAGTCGGGAAGTCAGACGAGCAGGGAATTGGTGTAGTCGAGCCTGGATATGATGACAGCGTAGATGAGGGTCTCGGCGGCCTGAGGGGGGAGGTAGTGGTGAAGCTGGGCAATGTTGCGGAGGTGGGGGAAGGCAGAGCAGGTTTTAGCACAGATATGCACTAAGACTAAGAATCCATTTAGTAATGGCCTTTTGTGAGGGTATTTTGGCTGCTCCAGTCACAGGTAGTCGGAAGCCAGGCTAAGCCTGATAATAATAATAATAATAATAATAATAATAATAATAATAATTGCATTTCATATAGTGCCTTCACGCCTTCAAGACGTCTCAAAAGGCTTCACAGAATATACTGTATATTTTTTGGGCGAAACATGGCAGCCAATTGCACACAGCAGGTCCCACAAAGAGTCATGGATTGAGTATTTATTTGAAGGGATGAACTGCGGAAAAACAATCCGCCAATTGACTAACAACTGGATTCCTACGTCCTGCTGGTAAACAGAGGCTTGTGGAGTAAGGAAACTTGCCCAGTGTTTTTCCCTGCCTGGGAATTGAACCCAGGTCTCTTGCTTGTGAGGCGAGCGGTCTAACCACTGAGCTACAGGACTGATGTGTTGTGAAGGGACTGAGGTTTGTACCTGAGGAAGGGAACCATATCCCATTCTCTTTCCGTCCGCCTCCTGACGCAGCACCACCTCCAGCACCTTCTGGCTGAGCAGCGCTTTAAAGTCCTTGGGATCGTCCGGAACATTTAGGAATATCCTGGCCGTGTTCGTGGCCTCCCCGTCCGCATAGTCCAGCAGGCTCTTCTTCCCCATGAAGTGGCCTGGGGCAAACACACGGCAAGGGAAATGTAAAGCTGGGTATTTCCCCATAACAGTGTCACCGCATCACAACAGCTCGAGCCAATCCCCACTGACTCCATATCACAAAATGGATCGATTTCAAGATCCTCACATTCGTTTTGAAATGCCTTCACACCCGACACCTCCCCATCTCTCCAACCTGCTACCCCCCCCCACCCCACAACCCACTGCCTCGGCTCGACTGGCTCCAGCCTCCTCCATGTCCCTCGTGCCCTCCCAAACCCTCTCATCATCCCAAATTATCACCTCGTCCCAAACCTTCTCCCCATCCCAAACCCTCTCCCCATCCCAAACCCTCTCTTCCCAAACCCTCTCCCCATTCCAAATCCTCTCCTCGTCTCAAACCCTCTCCCCGCCCCAAACGCGTTTCCGCATTCCAAACCCTCTCATCCCAAACCCTCTCCCCATCCCAAACCCTCTCTTCCCAAACCCTCTCCCCATTCCAAATCCTCTCCTCGTCCCAAACCCTCTCCCCGCCCCAAACGCGTTTCCGCATTCCAAACCCTCTCATCCCAAACCCTCTCATCCCAAACCTTGTCCCCATCCCAAATCCTCTCCCCATCACAAACCCTCTCTCCCAAACTCTCTCCCCATCCCAAACCCTCTCTTCCCAAACCCTCTCCCCATCCCAAACTCTTTCCTAGACCCAAACCTTCTCCCTGTCTCAAACCCTCTCATCCCAAACCCTCTTCCCGTCTCAAACCCTCTCCCCATCCCAAACCCTCTCCCCGCCCCAAACCTTTTTCCGCATCCCAAACCCTCTCATCCCAAACCCTCTCATCCCAAACCCTCTCCCCATCCCAAACCCTCTCCCCGCCCCAAACCTTTTTCCGCATCCCAAACCCTCTCATCCCAAACCCTCTCATCCCAAACCCTCTCCCCATCCCAAACCCTTTCCCCCACTTCTTGTTAAATTTTTTGTAAAGGATAATTACTAGTATTACTGTACTCTATTTATGTGCTCTGCCCATTTATGTGCTTCTCCCCATCACAAGGGTTTGCGATGGGGAGAAGGTTTGGGAAGAGAGGGTTTGAGAAGAGAGGATTTGGGATGAGAGGTTTTGGGAATGCAGATTGGGTTTGGGATAGGGAGAGGGTTTGGGATGAGAGGGTTTGGGATGGGGAGAGGGTTTGGGATGGGGAGAGGGTTTGGGATGAGAGGGTTTGGGAATGAGGATTGGGTTTGGGAAGGGGAGAGGTTTTGGGATGGGGAGAGGGTTTGGGATGGGAAGAGGGTTTGGGATGGGGAGAGGGTTTGAAATGAGAGGGTTTGGGATGAGAGGGTTTGGAAAGGGGAGAGGGTTTGGGATGGGGAGAGGGTTTGGGATGTGGAAAAGGGTTTGGGGTGGGGAGAGGGTTTGGGACGGGGAGAGGGGATTGGGTTTGGGAAGGGAAGAGGGTTTGGGAAGAGAGGGTTTGGGAAGAGAGGATTTGGGATGAGAAGTTTTGGGAATAGGGATTGGGTTTGGGAAGGGGAGAGGGTTTAGGATGAGAGGGTTTGGGATGGGGAGAGGGTTTGGGATGAGAGGGTTTGGGAAGACAGGGTTTGGGAAGAGAGGATTTGGGATGAGAAGTTTTGGGAATAGGGATTGGGTTTGGAAAGGGGAGAGGGTTTAGGATGAGAGGGTTTGGGATGGGGAGAGGGTTTGGATGAGAGGGTTTGGGATGGGGAGAGGGTTTGGGATGCGGAAAAGGGTTTGGAGCAGGGAGAGGGTTTGGGACGGGAAGAGGGTTTGGGACGGGAAGAGGGTTTGGGATGGGAAGAGGGTTTGGGATGAGGAGAGGGTTTGGGATGGGGGGAGGGTTTGGGTTGGGGAGAGGGTTTGGGTTGAGAGAGTTTGGAATGGGGAGAGGGTTTGGGGTGAGAGGGTTTGGGATGGGGAGAGGGTTTGGGAAGAGAGGGTTTGGGATGAGGAAAGGGTTTGGGATGGGGAGAAGGTTTGGGATGGGGAGAGGGTTTGGGATGGGGAGAGGGTTTGGGAAGAGAGGGTTTGGGAAGAGAGGGTTTGGGATGGGGAGAGGGTTTGGGAAGAGAGGGTTTGGGATGAGAGGGTTTGGGAATGGGGATTGGGTTTGGGAAGGGGCGAGGGTTTGGGATGGAGAGAGGGTTTGAAATGAGAGGGTTTGGGATGAGAGGGTTTGGGATGAGAGGGTTTGGGATGAGAGGGATTGGGATGGGGAGAGGGCTTGGGATGGGGAGAGGGCTTGGGATGGGGAGAGGGCTTGGGATGGGGAGAGGGCTTGGGATGGGAGGTTTTGGGATGAGAGGGTTTGGGATGGGAGGAAATAACTACCTGTTGCACTGATGTACTTTTTGTGACTAAATCTGTACATTCCAGGAAAGTTTAATTTTTGAGGCCAATAAAGAGGAGACGGAAAAACAAATAAGAGATCGAGAGGAAAAGAGAACATATCCAATGATTAAATCTTGTTACTTTCATTCCCTTCAAGACGAAAGCTATCACTCCAACATTCAACCGCAATATTAATTTAATATTCATTTCAAAAAAACAAGTGGCCAACATTCCTAAATTCACAGAATACATATTTCTGAAAATCCAGACACGATTTTTAAAAAAAAGAATTTCTGATTTAACAATAATTGACGGTCTCCAGTCCGGTCCCTGAGCCAGGAGGGTCCACAGTACCCCAGGGCACTGCTGACAGCCCAGCCCAGCCCAGCCCAGCCTAGCCCGGCACTTCGACAGGACCTGGAAGGGCAGACGCTTGTGAGCAAAACGCGGCAGCCAATTGTGCACAGCAGTGCCCCACTGGGAATCCAGGGAATCCTCCCCCTCAGCTACTGTTAACCCCACAAGCCAAAGCCCTAACGGGTCGGGTGGCCCCAGCTGGACAAGCAGCGGGAAAGCTTGGCAGACAGTGATACCAATGGCAAACTGTGTGGGTTTAGTTGGTTAGACTCCAGCAGTTACCCCAACGCACACTCTGGGGTCCCCCCCCCCCAAGCCTTGGCTCTCACCAACCTGCGCCTAATACTCTCCGGAGTTAGGTAAACAGGATGGGTCCCTCCAGGGGGAGAGAGAGAGAGAGAGAGAGAGGGGAGCACATTCCATTCCAACAATCTCTCTCTGGGATCGCCATGTGTAGGTGGGATGTGGGGAATTCTCAGTTGGGTTTGGAGTCTCTTTAAACACGGAGATGGGTTTCCACGTGTGTCAGACACCTAATCCCGTGTTAGCCCACTGACACTTAAACCAGGAAGCTTATGAAGCAAAGCCAGCTCATCCCAACTCTGATCCTTAATCCGTTTTGAAATGAAATGGGAAATGAATATAAAAATATAATAATCCTTTCATTTGATACAGCGCCTTATCACGTCTTCGAGACATCTCAAACCCTTCACAGAATAAATATACTGTAAAGTGCATTGACTGCATATTTTGTGGGCGAAACGCGGCAGATAATTGTGCCCCTCAGCGTCCCACCAACAGCCGTGGACTCAGGTGACCAAATTATTATTTTGTTGAGAGGATAACCCCCGGAAACGCAATCCGCCAATTGACTAACAAGTGAGTTCCTATTAAACAGACAGAGGTGTGTGAAGTAAGGAAACTTGACCAACGTTTTGCCCGACAGGGAATCAAACCCACGTCCCTCTCGCTTTCGAGGCGCGTGCTCTTGCCACCGAGCTACGATGCCTCCGCCCCCCCTGACAGCACGGCGTCTGGTCTCTCACCTGTCGCCCACAGGTTGCCTCTGGGGTTGACGTTGATCTTGGAGACCTTGTTCCTGAGCGCAGTCAGATCCAGACTGACTCCGGCTGTCACCGAGACGTAGGGGAAAACCAGCAGATAAACCAGCAATGCCAACCGGCACAGCCTCGCCACAGGGTCCACTGCCATCCTCACACAGACGGCTGTGTCTGTCTGTGTATCTAGTCTGTGTCTGTGTGATGTGTGTCTGTTTGGCTGTGTCTGTCTGATTGATTATTTGTCTGCCTGCCTGTCTGTGTGACTGTCTGTGTATCTGTCTGTGTGTCAGTCTGTCTGTGTGACTGTCTGTGTCAGTCTGTCTGTGTGACTGTCTGTGTGTCTGTGTGACTGTCTGTGTCAGTCTGTCTGTGTCTGTGTGTCTGTGTGACTGACTGTCTGTCTGGTTGGTGTGAGTTGGATCAGAGCTTCTCTCGGGCTTTGGCAGTTCGGCTCCCGCTACAATCTGTGCCTTTTATACCCCGAGCGGTGGGGGGGGAGTGGGGGGGGGGGGGGGAGTGGGGGGGGGGTGCGGTGGGGGGGGGGAGTGGGGAGGGGTGAGGGGGGGATTGGCTTCTCGGCTCCAGTGACTAACTCGGGCTCCGCGAGAGAGAGAGAGAGAGAGAGACTCAGAGACTGGAAACCTCAGCCACTCCCTCACTTACCGCGGGACTGAGACACAGAGAGACTCACTCACTCACTCTCACACACTCACTCTCACTCACTGTCTCACACTCACTCACTCTCACACACTCACTCACTCTCACTCACTGTCTCACACTCACTCACTCTCACACTCACTCACTGTCTCACTCACTCTCACACTCACTCACACACACTCACACTCACTCACTGTCTCACTCACTCTCACACTCACTCACTCTCACACTCACTCAGGGATGGAGACACACTCACACACTCACAGTCCGCTCCTGCGGCACAGACACGGGACAGAGCGGGAGGAGGGCTGGTGGGGGTGTGGGGGGCTGGTGGTGGGGGGGGGCTGGTGGTGGGGGGGGCTGTGTGTGTGGGGGGCTGGGGGGGGGGTGGGGGGGGGGCTGGTGGGGTGTGGGCGTGTGGGGCTGGGGGGGTGGGGGGGGGGGCTGGTGGGGGTGTGGGGCTGGTGGGGGTGGGGGGGGGGGCTGGTGGGGGTGTGGGGCTGGTGGGGGTGTGGGGGGGCTGTGTGTGGGGGGGGCTGGTGGTGGGGGGCTGTGTGTGTGGGGGCTGGGGGGGGGGTGGAGCTGGGGGGGGTGTGGGGGGGGGCTGTGTGTGTGGGGGGCTGGTGGTGGGGGGGGCTGTGTGTGTGGGGGCTGGGGGGGGGGTGGAGGGGGGGCTGGTGGGGGTGTGGGGGGGGGGCTGGTGGTGTGGGGGGGCTGGTGGTGGGGGGCTGTGGTGGGGGGGTGTGTGTGTGGGGGGGTGTGGGGGGGGGCTGTGTGTGTGGGGGGCTGGTGGGGGGGGCTGGGTGGGGGGGTGTGGGGGGGGGCTGTGTGTGGGGGGGGCTGGTGGTGGGGGGCTGGTGTGTGGGGGGGTGGTGGGGGGGGGGGCTGGTGGTGGGGGGGCTGGTGGTGGGGGGGGCTGGTGTGTGGGGGGCTGGGGGGCTGGTGGGGTGGGGGGGGGGCTGGTGGTGGGGGGGGGCTGGTGGTGGGGGGGGGGGTGGTGGGGGGGGGCGGGTGGGGGGCTGGTGGGGGGGGTGGGGCTGGTGGTGGGGGGGGGGGCTGTGTGGTGGGGGGGGCTGGGGGGGTGGGGGTGGTGGGGGGGGGGCTGGTGGTGGGGGGGGGGGCTGGTGGTGGGGGGGGCTGGTGGGGGGGGGCTGGTGGGGGGGGGGCTGGTGGGGGGGGGGGGGGTGGAGGGGTCGGAGCTGCCGATGGCTTTTGGGGGAAAGACTGAAGATGGGATATAAAGAATCCGAGAGCTGTAATTGTCTCAGTATAATCTGTGTGTTGTGTGTAACTGTGTTGTGTGTAACTGTTGTGTGTAACTGTGTTGTGTGTAACTGTTGTGTGTAACTGTTGTGTGTAACTGTGTTGTGTGTAACTGTGTTGTGTGTAACTGTTGTGTGTAACTGTGTTGTGTGTAACTGTTGTGTGTAACTGTTGTGTAAGGCTGTTCGTGTGTATATAATACGTGTGTCCGTGTTTGTGTATATTTGTAGATATCTGTAAACATGTCAGTGTGTTTGGTGTATTGTGTGTGTTTGTGTGTATATATTTGTGTGTGTATACAATTTTGTGTTACACACCAACTCTTGTGTGTGTGTATATATATATGTGTGTGTGTATGTGTGTATATGTTTCTTTTGTATATACATGTGTGCATGTATGTTTCTCTGTGTATGTGTGTATACATGTGTGCATATATTTTTGTTTGTGTATATTTCTGTGTGTTTGTGTGTGTATTTGTGTGCACTTATCTTTGTATGTGCAATATAGTATGTGTGTATTTTGTGAATGTCTGTGTGTGTATTTCTGTGTATGTGCGTGTGAGAAAGTAAAGCTATAGTCTCTCTCTCTCTGCGACTCTCACTGACACCTTGGGACGTCCTCCCGACGTGAAAGACGCTATACAAATGCAATCTTGTTGTTGTTGTTGTTGAGCTGAGTTACAGTATATTTCCCCAGTGACCATCTGCTGAACAGAAACCACAGATTTTAATGTTAAGCTTGAGTCCTCGGTGTGAATAATCTGCTCCGGTCTCTTACAGACAGGGACACGATGCCTAATTATACTATTTGACTAAATTTAGCTCAAAATCCCAGTCTTTAGCCTTGTGTTAATAGCCGGGCTGTGCCATCACTCACAGGAGCCGTCAGGAAAGCAGAGCTGGACAGAGCCAGACAAGGGCGGAACTGCTACTCCCTTTTACAGCAACTGTAAGCATCTCAACTCCTGTTAACCCCACAAGCCAAAGCCCTAACGGGTCGGGCGGGCCCAGCTGGACAAGCAGCGGGAAAGGCTTGGCAGACAGTGATACCAATGGCAAACTGTGTGGGTTTAACTGGTTAGACTCCAGCAGTTACCCCAACGCACACTCTGGGTTCCCCCCCCCCCAAGCCTTGGTTCTTGCCAACCTGCGCCTAATAATTTTCGGAATTAGGTAAACAGGAAATGTCCCTCCAGGGAGAGAGAGAGAGCGCATTCCATTCCAACAACCTATCTCTGGGATTGCCATGTGTCGGTGGGAGGCCTGGAATTCTCAGTTTGTTTTGGAGACTCTTAAGCAACGGTGATGGGTTTCCACACGTGTCAGACACCCGGCTGGGGGGGAAAACAAAGTGCGGGACCAGAACCCAGCTACTCGCTTTCAACAACTTTAAGCATCTCCAATGGACTCCGACCACATCTGGACAAATGTGTTTTTTCCATTAAACTTGTTTTACCAGGAGAGAGACGCTGTGATGTGTTTTATTTGCTCACCCTCCCAGCCTGTACAGCATTCCCTCGGGTGACATAGGCAGTGTTCGTCCGTGAAACTTTCTGGGGTGAGTGCACATCTCGCTGGTAATTAATAATAATAATCATTGCGTTTGATATAGCACCTTATTGTCTTCGAGACGTCTCAAAGCGCTTCACAGAATATACTGTAAAGTGAATTGACGGTATATTTTGTAGGCAAAACATGGCAGCCAATTGCGCACAGTTTTTTGTAATCATTTAAACGTTTTCCTTGAAGTGAATGAACATTTTTTATCAACAACAACGGCAAATTACATTTGTGTAGCACCTTTCATGTCGGGGGTTCATCCCAAGGTGCTGGACAGTCAGGGATTTGGACCCAAGCTGTTGGTCAGGACATTGGGAGAGAGAAACGCACTTCACTTTTATATACAAGAATCCTTTATTTTAATGTGCTTTTAAACTTGTAATCCAACACTCTCAGGGTAACAGATACTTCTTTTGACCAAGTATTGTATCACCTTTGAAGATCATTTTTGTAGATGGTGGGAGCGCTGCATTTTCAGAGGTGTGGGCTTTGAAATGAGACATTAAACCAAGGTCCTGTCTGCCTGTTCAGGGGGATGTTAAAGATCCTGTGGCGCTATTGGAAAAGAGAGGGGAGTTTCTCTCTCTCGGTGTCCTGGCCAACAATCTCCCAACAGAATTGGTCACTCATTCCATGGCTGTTTGGAAGACATTGCTGTGTGCAAATTGGCTGCACATTTCACCCACAAAATACAGTCACTACACTTCACAATAAAATCTTGTGAAGCGCTTTGAGATGTCCTCACAACATGAAAAGCACTATACCAAATGCAAGGATTATTATTATTGTTATGCTGTGAGTTTCTCACTGCTAGAATCCACCAGTTTACAGTCTGGCTCCAGATAAATCGGGTACTTTAGGAGTTCTTCAAAGATAACGACACAGATGGAAACTCGTTAGGCAGACTCTCTCTCCTCACCCTCTGTCTTGCACTCTGGTACAGCTGTTTTATTAGACGAATATCAATTACATCGATTTATCTCCGATCTTCCTGCTCAGAACACAAAGCCCTGATTCAAAGTAATACTTTCAAATTCAGTTCCTTTCTACAAACAACCAAACTGATCAGCAAAAAATCAGAAGAAGTCAATTATCTGGTTAAATATTTCACCTCGAATCAAATAATACAGAGCCTTCAACTTGTTAATCTTAAAGTAACAAAGTAGTAATTGATTATATGATTTAGAAATATATTGAGATATTTGGTTCCTTATCTTGTACAATTCCTTTTATTTGCAATTCTGGTATAAGATTGTTGATACCTAACCTTTGTTACTTGGAAAGGGTGAGCTAATCACCCATTCAGTGAAATATGTAACATTTAATCATAATAATAGTAATCCTTGCATTTGATATAGCACCTTATCTCATCATTGAAACGTCTCTAAAAAGTGCTTCACAGAATATAAAATGTATTTTGTAGATGAAACCCGTTAGCCAGTTTCATTTCCGAACCTTTAACCAGTATCCATTGTAGAGTATGTCGCATTGAGACCTCGAGGATTATTTATAGTTTAAATTCCCGTTGAGCTGCCAGGATAATTAGGATTGCCAGTGGAGATAGCACCCAGTCAGGGCAGCATCTGAACTGCTAAATATTCAGCATCTCGTTCATCAGAGGCGACAAACAGACAAATCTATGAACAGACAGGAGCCGCGAGCAGAAACAGGCAC